CCATGGCATCTCTGGGCACAGCTCACACTACAGTTCCCATGGGCTGCAGTGGCCTACCAGTGGTTCAACTGGTCTGGGGTCTTAGGAACGGCACTGCCCTAGTGGGAACTCTCTGCACTGGTCCCAGCCCCAAGGTGGTCACTGCTCAAGGCCCTTTTAGCTCCCCAAGGCATCCCTTGAAATCCAGGTGGAGGCAGCCAAGCCCCCACAGCTTTGCTTGACACAGAGTATTCCATGCCAGGCCCTCTGGGAACTGCACCTGCTGAAACTGAGGAGTGTGGCAATAGTGTGGGAGCAGAGCCCACACTATAAGGCAGTGCCAGGCAGCAGAGGCCCCCTCCTTTGATATAGTTCTACCCCCTAGCTTTAAGGGCCTGTGATGGGAGAGGCAGCCACTTGCCCCTCCACCCCCATGATCTCCAGTGTGACTTCAGGGGCATTCTTCCATTGAATTAGACAGCAGGTTCTGGCTCCTGTTTAGGTGGCTGACTCATCTTCCCATTGTCTTGATGAATAGCACCTGGCATCCTTTGAGATGACTGATCCATGCTCATCTCCTTATCTAAGGTCCTTGGCCACAGCTTTGTCTCTCCCTAATTTTTTTCCCCAATATGAACAGACTGAGAATTTTTCAGACTTTTAATATTTCCTTCCCTGTTTTAATTTTTTTTTTTCTTACAGAGATTTTTGCTAAAGGACATGTGTACTTGCTGGAAAGATAGAGAGACAGAAAGTGAGAAATTATGCCCCAGGAGGGATAGCCATGCCACAATCTCTTCTCCATTCTTCTCTCAGGATTTTGGGCATGCACAGTCATGCACCCGGAGTGAATTTCCAACTTCTGGGTCTGGGACTCAAACCATGGTCAACCATGTGGGAGTCCAGTGATGTAACTATTATGCCATCTGTTTGTCCCCAATTTTTTTCTCTTTTGTTTAACAATTTCTTTTTTAAATAATTAATTAATTTAAAATTTAAATTTATTTTTTATTAATTCACTGAGCATCATCATAGCACACAAAATGCGATTTCCCATCCAGAATACACTGTGTAGTGACTTAATCATACATGTTATTATCAACAAATAATTTTCTATTTCTTGTTTCTCATATCTATCTATCTATATATTTTCCCTCCCTATTTCTCGCCCTCTGCCATTTCCCACCCTCCTCCCACACTGTCTCTGGTGTCTCTAGTTGCTTCCCATTCCTTCCCCACCCCATTTTATTGATTCACAAAATATCTTAATCTAACTACTTTCAATAACAAGTTCAGCTGATATATACATATCTGTGAACACATATTTGACTTAAGGCATGAAACTCTGTGAGTGGAATGAATATACTATAAGATAGCATCTCGCTGAGGCTACATAGCTTATTGTGCTCATTAAATAGGTATTTTTTAAATACATTTTTTAATTTCAAGAAAAGCATGGTTGGCAGGTGGCATAGTGGTTAAGGGCTCTGGACTCCCACATGGCCAACCGCATTTCAAGCCCCAGAATTGGTGGCTTATTTTCTCACTGACCCCCCTCATCACCATCCTTCTCTGGTCAATTAAAATAAATAAATAAATAAAGTTCAATAAAATAATTCTTCTTTTTTTTTTTTTTTAAAAAAAAACAGTTTTAGCTTTAATAAGTCAAAATCAAAAGATTGTAAGTGAACTTTGCTTAAGACTTAAAGCCAAGAAACAGGTTAGGATTCTGTTCAATTAGATACATGAACCTATTGACAGCTCAAGAGAAGACAAAAATCTTTAAATCTGCAAAACAAAGCATAGAAGAAAATTAGTGATGTTTTAATCAAAAATCATAAAATTCTGTTTCACCAATTCAGTCTCATGTACTTTATCTTTTGTTGTGATCTGATCTTTCCATTTAAATTCTGGAAGATAGCATTCAACTCAGGACTTGTCCCTACCCTAATTATTTCTGTGTGTCTGTCTTTAGTTTTCCCAGTATAGCACTCCCTCCAGAACTTCTTGGAGAGCTGGTCTGATATTGGTAAATTCTTTTAGCTTTTGTTTATCTGAGAATGTCCTTGTCTTTTCTTTCCATATGAAGGATAATCTTGCCAGGTACAGTATTCTTGGTTGACATTGTTTTTCCCTTAACTCTTTGAATATATTTTCCCATTCTTTCCTCACTCGCATTGTTTCCAATGAGAGGTCTGCTGTTAGCCTAGTGGGATATCCTTTGTAGGTAACTTGCCATTTCTCTCTTGCCAATCTTAGTATCTTGTCTTTGTCTGTGGTTTTGGTCATTTTGCTATGATGTGTCTTGGAGAAGATCTTCTTGGGTTGATTCTATTTGGGTTCCTTTGTATTTCTTGGGAACAATTTCTTCTTTGAATCATATCTCTCTTTTTGCGTTTTACTATAAGCAGTCAAGAGGAACCAGGTCACTCCAACACTTTGCTTAAACATTTCCTCAACCAAATAGTCAATTTCCCTGCTCACAAGTTCTACCTTCTGCAAAGCAAAGCACTAGGACACAAATAAGAGACAGCCAGGGTCTCTGCTGCTTCGTATCAAGGAGAGCCTTTTCCACTGGCTGCTAACAAGTTCTTCATTTCCATCAAAATGGCCTTTACCACATAAATTTCTGCCAGTATTCTGTTCATGACCACTTAGGTATTCTCTTCAAACTCTGAGAATGCCCTCATTCCGAGCTCTCCGAAATCACCCTTTATGATCCATTCACGGCAATGTAGGCTTTTTCTAGCTTATATCTCAAAAACCTTCCAGCATCTTTTTGTTACCGAGTTCCAAAGCCTCATCTACATTTTTAGGTATTTGTTACAGCAGCACCCCACTCAGTTATAGTTTCCAGTCTTAGTTGGTTTAGGCTGCCGTATATTAAACTTAGTGGCTTATAAACAACAGAGGTTTACATCTCATAGTTCTGGAGGCTGGGAAGTCTAAGATCAAAGTGCCAGGAGATTTGGTGTCTGATTATGACCCACTTCCTCAAAGACAGTTGCCCTCTCACTATCGCCTCACATGGCAAAAAGGGTGAATGAGCTCTCTGGGGCCTCTTTTTTGTTTGTTTGTTTCCCTATAGGGTTCATGCACTTACTGAGAGAGAAAGAGAGAGAGAGAGAGAGAGAGAGAGAGAAATCACCCCCAGGGGTATGACCATACTAGAGCATACTGAAGTCACTTCTCCACTCTTGCCTTGGGATTTGGGGCACTCATGCACACATGTCCATTGTGTTTTTCTAACTGCCAGTTCTGGGACTCAAACTGTGATCAGCCACATGGGATCCAGCTGCCTTAATCACCATGCCACTGGCTGGGGGCGCTGGGGGGGGCTTTTTTTCATAATTCTATTTCTAA